GCTGCTGAGAACGAACAGTGCAATACTAGAAAGAGCAGCAGCAGCAACAGCTCCAGCAAAAATAACAGCAGCAGCAGCAGCAGCAGCAGCAGCAGCAGCAATAGTAGCAGCAGCAGCAGCAGCAACTTACGACTTCCCCTCGGACTTCTACTGCCAGGGACCAGGCCTATAAAGAAAACAAACAAAGCGTCAGCAGCAAACCAAAAGGAGACAGATGGAGACAGAAGGAGACAGAAGGAGACAAAAGGAGACAAAAGGAGACAGAAGGAGACAAAAGGAGACAGAAAAGGAGACAGGAGACAGAAGGAGACAGAAGGAGACAGAAGGAGACACAACACTACTAACAAATAAAAAAAAAAAAAAATAAAAAAAATAAAAATAAATATGTTTGTCTGTGTGTGCTTATGTTACCGATAGAAAGGAGACACGAACGCCGGGGCCTTTGCCTTTTACTTTAAAAGACAAAACAGACAAAGTGCGGCCTGATCATACACACCAAACCCTAAACCCTAAACCCTAAACCCTAAACCCTAAACCCTAAACCCTAGACTGCAGACTTTATCACGTGGCTGGGGACTCTAAAAATTTAGCTGCAAAAGGCTATAACCCATCAACTATAAACCCTAAACCCTAAACCCTAAACCCTAGACATTTTCATCTACAAACCCTAAACCCTTTAAACTATAAACCCTAAACCCTAAACCCTAAACCCTCGAGGGTTTACCGTCTTGGAGAAGAAGCTCCTTCAGGTCCTCATCATCAGCCTGCGAAATCACAAACAAGCAGCAGCAGCAGCAACAACTCTTTCATGTACAGCTGTTACTCTAGCAGCAACAGCAGCAGCAGCAGCAACAGCAGCAGCAGCAGCAGCAGCAGCAGCAGCAGTGCTCACCACCTCTTCGGTTTCATTACGGGACCCCTCTTGCTGAGGTCTTTGCAGAGAAGGGAACCTGCTGGGGGGGATTGAGGGCCTGCTGCTGCTGCTGCTGCTGCTGTCGCTGCTGCTGCTGTCAGGCAGTCTGCTGCTGCTGCTGCCGATGCTGCCGATAGGCAGTCTGCCGCTGCTGCTGCTGCTGCTGTCGCTGCTAGGGATTCTAATAGGCAATCTAATGCTGCTGCTGCTGCTGGAAGGTTGTGTGGATGTGCTGCTGATGCTGTCTTGCTGCAGCTGCTGCTGCTGCTGCTGCTGCTGCTGCTGCGGGAGCCACAGAGGGTCTCTGAATGGGCGCAGCCGGGAGCCTGGTGCGCGTTCGTCTGCAGCAGCTTGCTGCTGCTGCTCGGGCTGCTGCTGCTGCTGCTGCAGCTGCTGCAGCAAGCTGTCTTCGGCGAAGCTTTCGGATGATGGTCGTGAGCCTAAGACCCCAACACCACCATCTGCTGCTGCTGCTGCATCCTGCTCCTGTGTCTCCGCTTCTGCTGCTGTCTCTGTCTCTGCTTGCTGCGGCGGCCGCTGCGGCAAGAACCCCAGCAACGGCTCCTCAGAAGTGAAGTCAAAAGAAGGAGAAGAAGTGGTGGTGGTTGATACTTGCTGCTGCTGCTGCTGCTGCTGCAGCTGCTGCTGCAGGTGCTGCTGCAGCAAAGGCAGCAGAGAACCCCCAACTAGTGTAGGCAGGTTCACACGATCAAGCCATGTTTCAGGGCGATCTGCTGCTGCTGCTGCTGAGGAGGAGGAGGGGGATGAAAGGATTTCTTCTGCTGCTGCTGCTGCAGCAGGGTCCAGTGGTCTGCTGCTGCTGCTTTCTGCTGCTGCTGCTGCTGCTGCATCGCGAGCAACCCCACCCACCAAAAGGAATAAAGCACCCCCTATCTGCAGCAACATTTTGCTTCGAGAGAAAAAACCGCTCCGCATTATTAAAGGATTAGATATGCTGCTGCTGCTGCTGCTGCTGCTGCTGCTGCTGCTGTAAGAACCTGTGGACTGCTGCTGCTGCTGCTGCTGTTGTTGCTGTCGGTGGTGCTGCAGTTGCTGCTGCTAGTGAGGGGTGTATATACACCCTAAAACAAAATAAAAGGAAAAGGGAAACAGGAATGGAAGAAGAGTGTAATGCTGCAGCAGCAGCAGCAGCAGCAGCAGCAGCAGCAGCACGCAGCAGCACACAGCAGCAACAGCCACGGGCTAGCTCTCGACCTGCTCACTGCCCCTCGCCCCCACACTAGGCTTTATTTTTTGCTTTTTGTGTTTATTTATATTTATTAATTTATATTTATTTTGTTTGTCTCGCTCCTCCTCTTTTTTTTATTATAATAACTCTGCCTGTGGGGCCCCAGCACACACTCGAAGTGACCCTGGTGCCCCCAACCCCCTAAACCCTAAACCCTAGACACTAAACCCTAAACCCTAAACCATAAACTTTAAATAATAAAAGCTAGGTGATTAACACTAAAAAGCAAACCCCAAACCCTAAACCCTAAACCCTAGACCTAGCAAGCCCAATGGAGGGAGACTGAGGTCACCTGTACTCGGTGTCTACGCGGTGCTACAAACAAACCCTAAACCCTAAACCCTAAACCCTGATTTCTTAGCCCTTCTAGTGTATATAAACATCAGCAAAGACCCGTGAGAAAGAAGAAAGGCTCTGGGGCTGTTGAGCCCCCAGCTGTCTCCTCTTTAGGGTTTAGAGTTTGTTTCGCCTCTCACTCTAGGGTTTAGGGTTTAGGGTTTAGGGTTTAGGGTTTAATTAGGGTTTGTTTAATAGAGTTACAGCAGAAGAATAACAGAGTACAGGGGAGAAGAGACAGAAGAGACAGACAGAGACAGAGCAGCAGGCAGAGCGTAAACACAACAACCCCACCACCACTCACCATAAAAGGAGACAGAAGGAGACAGAGAGAGATAAGGAGACAGTTGGCTGCAGCAGCAGCACCATATGTTTATAAAAAAAAAATAAATTAATTTATTTTTTATTTTTTATTTGTAAATACGGGCGCCGGGGATCGAACCCGGGATCTTTCGCGTGTGAGGCGAACGTCATAGCCACTAGACCACGCCCGCTTAGCTGCTGCCGTCTCCTCACTGTCTCCTTTCTTCTCTTTCTGTCTCCTTTCTGTCTCCTTTCTTCTCTTTCTGTCTCCTTTCTGTCTCCTTTCTGTCTCTCTAGTGTCTCCTTTGTTTCTTTGCTGCGTCGTTGGCATCTCTTCTGTCTCTTTCTGTCTCCTTTCTGTCTCCTTTCTGTCTCCTTCTGTCTCCTTTTTCTTTGTTTTTGTTTCCTTCTGTCTCTTTCTCTTTCTCTCTTTCTGTCTCCTTTCCTCTCTCTAGCTCTGCTGCTGCTGCTTAGCAGCAGCGCCAGGACTGCACGGATCCTAAACCCTAAACCCTGAACCCCAAACCCTAGACGCTAAACTCTAAACCCTAAACCCTAGTTTAGGGTTTATATGTACCTGTAGATACACCCCACTGCACTCTGACTCAGGATTAGATAGTCTTAAAGAGTGTAGTGCAGCAGCAGCCGTTGCTGCTGCTGCTGCTGCTGTTGCTGCTGCTGCTGCTGCTGTCTTAGCATGCATATGTTCTGCGACGCTCCGCGCTGCGGCAGCGACAGCAGCAGCAGGAGCAGCAACTGCTGCAGCAACAGCAGCAAAGACAGTTGCTGCTGCAGCAGCAACAGTTGCTGCTGCAGCAAGAACAGCTGCTGTTGCAACAATACCAGCAGCAGCAGCAGCAGCAACAGCTGCTGCTGCAGCAATACCAGTTGCTGCAGCAGCAGCAACAGCTGCTGCTACAGCTATGCCGGCAGTTGCTGCTACAGCTATACCAGCTGCTGCAGCAGCAGCTGCTGCTGCTGTTGCAGCAGCAGCAGCACAAGCAGCAACTAAGTTAATTATATAAAGCCCATGTGAGCACAGACTGCAGCAACTGCTTTCCTCGCCTCG